CCCAAACTCGGCCCAGGCTGTAATCGCTGCATTTGTGTGTGTGTGTGTGTGAGTGTGTGTGTGTGGCAGCATGCGCCCGCTACATAATTGTTCTTTGTGTTTTTCCTTGAATGACCAAAGAGTACCTCACGGCTAGGTCAGAAGATAAGGAACACGAACATTTTTCCCCCGCCGCACGTGAGAAAAAAAAAAAACTATGTAAAATAAAACAGTTTTACACTGTCAAAAATAAAAAAAAACAACCTCCCACACATCCCCCAATAAACAAAACAAAACACAACTACAAAGTAGAGAACACGTTAAAAATAAATTTGAAAAAAATTGACATTGACCTAGAGGCCGCTGCCCCGAGTTAAGCCTACTGACCTGCGTGGTCCTCGTCGTCCTGGTGTTGGCGGCTCGCCAGCGCGTGGCGCGGAGCAGAGGGGGGAAGTCCCAGAGGGCCCAGAGAGGACGATTCGCGTACCCTCGCGAGAGGAGCGTGTCGACGGGAGTCCGGTCTCGCGTATATATGTACGGTCGGCGGGCGGGGACGACTCCGTCCGCTCCGGTGGCAGTTCGCTGCGCGAGTGTGAAGGTGGGCCCGCCCGAATACGCGCCCGGCCCGCCGGCCCGCCCGACCGTCTCTCGCGGTGGCCACTCAAACCTCTCTCTCTCGCTCTCTCTCTCTCTCTCTCTCACGTGACCCGCACGTGCCACGGCCGCCAACCTGCACAAAAGCAAATCAACGAGGCGGGTGCGGCTGCCAGCTTTTGGCCGAGCAGTAGAGAGCCCCGGACACAAAGGGGCGGGGCGGCGCGACTTTTGAAAATTTGGCGCCAAAACAAAGCTGGCACACACGCTGCTGCTCGCAACGCGCGCTGCCGCCGCCGGCACGGCTACCTTCGCCTTGGCACAGACGCCCGGCCGGGGCCAGCAGGGCGGCGGGCTTTCCCTCCTCCTGAACACCCCCCCCCTTTATCCCGGCTGCTTTGAGAGGGAGAGAGGTGGGAGGGGTAGGGTAGGTCTTCGCAGGACGGTCGGAACAGAACGACCGGTTCGATTTGGTTTGCCGGCGTCGTCGACGGCGGTACTGGCCCAGAGGGGTCCGGCGGCGAGGTGGGGCGGGGTGAGGCGGGGTGAGGCGGATCAGCAGGGTGCTTATTGCAAGGCAGCCTTGCAGCCGCGCCGGAGTGAAAGTGACGTCGTCGGGCTGCCGCCCGGCAAATGCGTGTGTGGGGACCTTGGCGTGGAGACGTCTTCCCCCTCCCCGCAGTAGGAGATACCCCGCGCTCACGCACTCGCCGCGGGAGCAACTCGCGCACGAGGTAGTGCCCCCGCTCTAAAGTAGTGCTCTCTTGCTCTGCGTGCGTTGAGCCGCCCCAAGCTCCGTCGTACTTTTAAGACACGTGTCCCCGGAGAGACACCTCGCTTTTGAATCACACGGCACAGTATGATGTGACTGGGTTGGCTTTACACTGCTGCGGATGGCCTAGGGATCATCCAGAAAGTACGTCCGTCATTCCCCTTCAACGTACCGCTGTCAACTTGAGCCGTTGCAAGCTCTCATAACGCCTGGCAGGTAGGCAACATCTTGTCTGCAGGGCATGCATGTACTGCGGCGTTGCCTACACCGTTTCTCGCAGGCGCCGTGCTCCCGCAATTCGCCGAATGGATCCGCGGAAAACAGACGTACTTTCTGGACGATCCCCTGTGCTCGCCGGGTGCCTGAAGTCTTTGCAGGCGAGTGTTTGCAGATGGTCGTTTGCGGGAGGCAAACCGGACAAGTAAATTTTCCATTTAATTCAAATAAGTTTACACAATTTAAAAAAAAAA